GTCACTTTATTGTAAAACATCCCTAATCTTCGGCACTTTGTGTGGCCTTATTGTGAGCAACTGTCGTAAAACTTATACTTAAACCAAATAGAAAAAATTGTTAAATTTTAAGACTCTATTTACAACCCAAAAGGGTTGAGCAAAGACAAGCACGTTTGATACAATGTTGGATAGAGTGTGTTGTGTTTTCCGTAGATAGAAAGCTATACAAGGGATGGATAGATGAAAATTTGAATCTTTTGCGACTTCAGGGATCTGGATAGTTAAAAAAATTAATAAAGATTTTTCAGAGTCCTGCCTGTGTCTCATGGCAACTCAAAGATCCCGTTTCTTCTACAGCAGAAAATATATGTATATTATAGAATGCAAGGCTCAAAATCTTTAATCCAGTGCCAACTGTAGAAAGTTTCGTCAAATCTCTATTTTATACAATATGGTTTGCTTCTTGCATCGTGACGCTGGTCAGTGCACACACTGTTTTTTCTTTGTGTTCCCTGCTAGATATCAGGGGTGGTCGACTGCTGGTTCTCCAGTCGAAGGTTGCACACTATGTCAAACTGATCTCTGCTTTGCATAATCAAATTTGACCCTGAAGTCACAAAGGATTATCGCCTTCTACACTCAAACAAAATTTCTGAACCTACAGTGTATAGTGGCCTCCTGATTGCTTTTTGTCATCAAACAAATGAAATCGTGACATAGATTAGGTTTTTATTTTGATCAGTTTGACGAATAAGTTCCAAAAATAGCTTTTGCTCCTCCATGAAGGAAAATTCAGCCGCCCTCAATTTCTAGCAACAGTAGAAAATTTGACGAAACTTTCTGCATTTTGTGTGTGACAGTGGTTTGTATGTCAGTGCACAACCAAACACAGTTCATGCTACTAACCAAGTACATGTAGTTGCGTTCTTACCTTGTTTTTCTGAGTGACACAAAAGTGCGGTCTTTGACGATCTTTTTGTAGTCTATCTTGCACACTCGACTCAAACCGTTGAGCTGATGAAGTACAAATGGGCCGTTAAGACAGTTATATTTAGTTTAATGTAAAGCGAATTCAGAAGAAAAAAAATTGCACTTATACATGTACTTATAAGCTTGTAGGATGGTCAGAAGAATAGAGCATGTAAGTGTTTTGTTATTTTTTTATTTTTTTCTTGGGGAGGGGATGGGAGGCAAAGCATCTTCACAGACCGAAATATAGCGTAGAAAACGTGAGAAAAAAACAGACAGACAGACAGACAGACAGACAGACAGACAGACAGACAGACAGACAGACAGACAGACAGACAGACAGACAGACAGACAGAC